AAGATGGCATCTAAAAGATGATTCTATTCTAACAGTATTATACTTGTTGAAATCGCTAATTTAAATTCCTGGGAGATGAGAAAAAGGAGTTTTCAGCAGGGTTACTGAGAAAAATCAGGTCATGGCAAGATGATTAGTGCCAGAGCTGGTATAAAAGCATACACAAGACTATACAACTGGGAACAGGGAGAGAAGAGTTGAAAACAAGGTGTGGAAAAGAGAAGTAAGATCACCTCCTCTTAACAGAAATACGAGCATTATTACAGTGATTCAGCAGTCTGTGGAACTATAGTTTCAAAGTACAGAAAGAAGATTTATTATCTGGTTAGGGCATCCTGCCTGTGTAAAATTGGTGTGAAAAAATTGATACAAGAAGATGATTCTGTCTCAGCTTGAGCCCTTCTTTAGAGGACGAGTGTTGGTAGACACCATAATCTTCTCAACATTGTTTTGTGTGTAGTTACAAAATGCAATCTGAGCTAACAGGGCCAGTGACACGATTATCCCTGAACTGCTTTTTAATACCTTTTTTGTAATATTCAACTTTTAAATAACATGACAATTTTTAGCTGAGTTTATAGCAGCATTACATCATGATTCTAAGTATTGTTTGTGCTAACAGTATGGTCAAGTACTTAGGTATAACCATGACAGACACTTCAGCCTTCTCAGGAGCCTCTACTGTCCCAGTGCATTAATTAATAAAGTTACAATGTTGCTTACTACCTGGCTGGTTAGTATGCCAGTTCCAGTGCTTGATATAAGGTGAGTGTGAAGTCTTATTTCAGCAGCTTCTGCAGACAGTCAATTTTGGGTCAGAGTGATGTTGTGTATGGGAATTCCTATCTGACAGTTGTTTCTTTTTTCATACACGGAAGGTCCCAAAGAAACCAGGTGGCCACATTGAAACAGTGACTTTCTGATAACTGTTGTCTGGCATCCATAGAGAAGGATGTGTGGTGCTATAAAAATGACATGAGCCTTTAAGCAACAGTATAAATCTGTTCTTTACAGATGTAGGATGATGACTTTGTCTACATGTTCTGTTTCCAGGAGTTCTCAATCATCTGTGTTACACAGATGAATGGGTGACAGGATTTGCTTTGTGGGTAGTAAAGAGAGAAAATGTGAAGTGAATGTTGTGGTTTAACCCAGCAGGCAGCTAAACACCACACAGCCATTTGCTCATTCCTCCGTCCCACCCCACCCCCCACACACACAGTGGGTGGGGGAGAGAATCGGAGAGAAAAAAAGTAAAATTCATGAGCTGAGATAAAGACAGTTTAATAGGACTGAAAAGGAAGGGATAATAATAATACACAAAATCAATGATGCGCAATGCAATTGCTCACCACCCACAGACCGATACCCAGCCCATCCCTGAGCAGCGGTTTCTCTGCCCCCCCCCACCCCCACCGCGCCCACACCCAACAAACGTTTCTAATCTGAGCATGACATCATATGGTATGGAATAGCCCTTTGGTCAGTTTGGATCAACTATTCTGGCTGTGCCCCCTCCCAGTTTGTTGTGCACCTGGCAGAGCATGGGAAGCTGAAAAGTCCTTGACTAGCATAAGCAGTACTTGGCAACAACTAAAACATCGGTGTGTTATCAACATTATTCTCATCCTAAATCCAAAACACAGCACTATGCCTGCTGCTAGGAAGAAAATTAACTCTATCCCAGCCAATACCAGGATGGTGAATCAGATGAAAACTTGCTGCTGGGATGATAATGTTGCTGCAAATTCATTCTCAGTCTCAGAGAAATTATACATTGTCTGTGCTCTTGGGAGAAAAGATCTAAAATTTTGTAGAGGATATTAGAAGAATGCAAATAAAGTGTCTGAATTGTTACTTTGAGGTTTTGGGCATTGTTTTATATAAGGCAGACTTTGGAATTTTTGTGTGAGGTGTTCTCAATAGACCTGTGCTTTTATTCATGATTGCTAAAGTTATAAGTAGCTGGTGTTCATGGAAATCTAACTTATATTTTCAAGTTAGATTTGTGTTTACTCTATGAGAGTCATCATTTCAGTGCCAAATCTGCCATGGTTTACCCATGGTTTACATTAATTTCTGACTGTAAATAGAGGAAAGTGATGCTGCTCACTAGAGTATTGGGACTGTCTTTTGGCACTCTTTAAAATCTTGCGTTTGACTGTTAACATATTTCACTATCCAAAAATACATTATCAAGAAGATGGTATATAAATATGAGACTGTAGAAAACAGGATTGTGGCACTATGATTTACATGGCATAAAGAGTAATTGGCAAGTTGGAACTTGTGATTTAAATTGCAGCATAAAATAAAATCATTAATGGCATGATGCAAACTGAAACATGAAGGCTTGAAGGTTTTCAAATCTAAGTTAAAATGTGAGTCTTCTGTCTTTTGGAACAGTAAATAATTCTTTTGGCTCTTCAGGTTTTCATCAGAACTGTCTGTGCAGGACACTTGAATGCTAATTCACGCATAGAGAGACAATCTGTGTTCTGAAGTGCTTTTTCTTGAATGAACAACAGAAAAGAGGATTAATATAGCTATGAAAATGAAGAACAACATTTTAAAAAGAATCATGTTTTTACTTGAGTACTTACAAAACTTTCATGAGGAAAAAAAATTTTTAAAAAGGGAAAGTAGGATTATAGAATTCTCCAGTTCTCTAGTGGAATACATGTGCTTAATGAGTAGCACTTCAATGGAATAAGAAGTTGGGACTCTATAATAGTTACTGATTCTGGTGTCAGGATTTAAGATGTCTCTGAAAGTGAGTAGGTAACAGAAAGGGTGCAGAAAGTGTGGGTTATATACTAAAGCTGTCTAGTAGAGATGAGACTGGCTGTTTGTGCCGCTCCTGTGAATATATTCTGTATTTAGCCTTCCCTGTTCAGCATAACTGAACGCGAGCAAGCTGCTTGAGGGGAAATCCTCAGCATTCAGGTGTTGTAGTTACTGGTATTTTTATGAGTTAGCCACTGGGAGATTTGATCACTTTGCTATTTAGTTTGCTTTTCTTTGTAATCCTACCTAGACTGTAGCGGGGGGAAATAAGGATGCTGCCAAACCAGATTAATTGACTCAAATGATCTCCGAGAAGAAAGCAAGAATATGAATTGAAAAACAAACTCCTGTACTCTAAGCAATGTCTAAGACAAAAAGAAAAACAAAAACATCAAGATGATTCCTAACGCGTTTGTATTTTCTTCACTTTAAAAATGTAGCACTTCTATCTGTTCGCAGCAGTACAAATTTTCACAAAAATACCCCAAAGATTATTTGCGATACCCACTTCTCTGCAATGCAGTAAATACTAGTAACTAACATAGATGAAGAATCTAGTGAACTACTGAGTTTTAAGTTAGGTCTGCATTTTGAGGTCTGTTGTTATGTACTTCTCTACTATGTAGAGGTAGTAGCACATGTGATATTTTGCTGTACTGAAGCAAGATTTTAATCCCACAGTATGTTTGTGGATAAATATGACGGTGTTTCTGTTTTCTCTAGATGCAGTGTAAAATACACATTTGTTTAATGATGGGGATAGGGGAAATAAAGGAGATCAGGAACTTCATATGAAGATGGGGATTGTGTTTTGTCACTCTGTTAATGTATTTGAGCACTTTTTATGATCTGGTATTCTGACAAATGTGGAGGTCAGGTGCGGAGGGGATTCAAATTTCTCTTCTTTTTCACAATCATATAATTTTAAAGTCTTTGATAATTGGCAACTACATTTTGGAATTTCAACCTCATGACTTCATCTTTTCATGGAGTTCCGAAAAGCTTACATGCGGTATCTTTTTTTCTTTTTTTTTTAAGAAGAAATGTGCCTTTTTTCAGTGTGGGGAAGACTGGTTGTTTTTGGCAAGAGTCAGTAGTCTTGAGGGAGGTGATTCTGCCCCTCTACTCCACTCTGGAGAGACCCCACCTGGAGTACTGTATCCAGCTCTGGAGCCCTCAGCACAAGAAGGACATGAACCTGTTGGAACAGGTCCAGAGGAGGGCCGCAAAAATGATCCGAGGGATGGAACATCTCTCCTGTGAAGAAAGGCTGAGAGTGTTGGGGTTGTCCAGCCTGGAGAAGAGAAGGCTCCGGGGAGACCTCATTGCAGCCTTTCAGTACTTAAAGGGGGCTTGTAAGAAAGATGGGGACAGACTTTTTAGTAGGACCTGTAGCGATAGGACAAGGGGTACTGGCTTTAAACTAAAAGGGGGTAGATTCAGACCAGATATAAGGAAGGAGTTTTTTACAGTGAGGGTTCTGAAACACTGGAACAGGTTGCCCAGAGAGGTATTGGAGGCCCCATCCCTAGAAACCTTCAAGGCCGGGTTGGATGGGGCTCTGAGCAACCTGCTCTAGTTAAAGCTGTCCCTGCTCACTGCAGGGGGGTTGGACTAGATGACCTTTAAAGGTCCCTTCCAACCCAAACTATTCTATGATTCTGCGATTGCTCTGTGGATTAGAGTCTTCTGAAACAAAACATCAGGGTGTATGTGTTCCCTTTCTGTCATTTGGCATGTTGTGTATCCCCCAAGTGTACCTTTTGGCTGCAGTTTAAGGGAGTTGATAGCATACTTTAGCTTTTAAGGAATATTGTTGTTGAGTTAGTTTGAGATTTTCTATTTGCATGTTTACATCTGTGCAGAGTTCTTTTTTTCACATAGATGAAATTATTGCCATAAAAAAAACCCCACCCAACATTTTGGGACACCCTATTATAGCACGCTGTTTCTAAGTTTGTCCAGGAAAGTCTTCCTGTTTACTTACTTGAATATTTATCTATTTTATTATGAGTGCACACAGAATCCAGGTGACCCCTGATCTTTTAATTTCCTACTTTCAGTGTTTTTATAGAGTGTTTTTCTTTTAATCCAATCTAATTGGAACAAATAATAGCAAAGTTAGATTTATTAGCTCATTGTAAGAGATGACTGGACACAAATATTTATTTGACGTTTTCTGGCTTGTAACACTATTTTTGTTTTGATTTCAGAATGCTCTCTTTAGTTGTATTAACAGAAATGAAAGTAAGTATGTAATTAATAGTTTGGGGGTTTTGTTTTTCTTTTATATTGTTCTATCCTTTTTTCTCTAAAATGTAAGAAATTCTGTGGGTGTACATATACACAATGATATGGATTCAGTTCTATAGAAGGACAAACCACATGCATAAATTTTCCTGCTCTAGTGATAAGGGGATTGGGCTGTTCATATAATTTATATCAGTTTTTAATTTGTGTATCTGTATTTGTTTTTTCTGTCCTATTTTGATGATTGCTTAGAAGCTCGTGTTTTCCTTCTGCTTTGTTCATTTGATGTAATGTAACATTTAAGTAAGAAAATTAAATTCGTTTAAGTAACAAAATTAAACGTGTAGATGAAATCTTGCACCATGCAAGTGTTCTGTGCCTGATGTCTGTCTATATAAAATGAAAAGAAATCAGGGTCTCAGAATTAATTCTAGTAAATGTATTTCTCTGTATATTTAATAACATATCAAAAATGGGTGAATCACAATACTATCTGTCTGCTTTTTTTAATGGGTTTTGGGATACTACTCATTTATTTTTTTACTATTAATATTTGTCTAATGATTTGATTATAGGACAAGGCTGTTTACCTTAAATAAGAACAAAACAGCTGAAGATAACATTCAGCTGGCTTGCTGGTGTCTTGAACTTGAGTTCAAGACGGCTTTAGGGACTTTTTTCTCCAGCCAAACAAACAAATCTAATTTGGCTAGTTACAGATAGTCCCAGTCATTCTGTAGACAGAGATTATTTTAATAGAGCATAGAAGAATTTCTTAATTTTTTTTAATGGTAATACCTTGAACGTCATTGTGTGTGGTGCAGACGTTCATTTCTTCATTTCTCTGTGTAGGAACCCATAGATTTTCTGTTGTTTGTTTGTTTTTTTCCCCAGTGGGGTCAGTCTGTTGCAGTTATGCAGGTCATCATACGAACTGTCGGGAATATTGTCAAGCAATTTTTCGGACAGACTCTTCTCCTGGTCCTTCACAAATTAAAGCAGTTGAAAATTACTGTGCATCTATTAGCCCTCAGCTTATACACTGTGTGAACAACTATACACAGTCATATCCAATGAGAAATCCTACAGATAGTAAGTATAAAAAAAATCCTTCTTTACTGAAGGTTGTAAAAATACTGAAAATGTTTGAGGATTGTATGCACTGTTATATAAAATGTGTTTTTCTGTAAGTCTATTGTATAAATTGTATTAATGTATTTCTGTTTGTAATTATACGACTTTATATAATGATAACTTTTGTTTTAGGTGCATTATTTATTTTTTTAATTCTACATACTGGTGGTTTAGTTGATTCTGTTTCCATTTAAAAGAAGCAATACTATTTGAGATTACTGGGGGGAGGCGGGGGAGGCCTCCTTATAGCACTTTTTCTTTGAGGACTATTAAGTCATGCATCTTGGTGGTTGTATGCTTGATGATTAACTATTTTTAATTTTTTTAACAGGTTTGTATTGCTGTGATAGAGCAGAAGACTATGCATGTCAGACTGCTTGTAAGAGAATTCTAATGTCAATGAAAACAGAGCTTGAAATTGTTGATGGACTTATAGAAGGCTGTAAAACAATGCCTCTCCCTCAGGATCCACTTTGGCAATGTTTTCTTGAGAGTTCAAGATCTGTTCACCCAGGAGTCACTGTGCACCCTCCACCTTCAACAGGCCTTGATGGAGCTAAGCTCCATTGCTGTTCTAAAGCAAATTCTTCCACATGTAGGTCAGTATGTCTCTACCCTCATTTCCAGTTGTGAAAATGTTTCAGAAGCTGTCTTATATCAGGCCTTTGCCCGAATCCTGCTATGTACATCAAATAAAGAGTTTTGTGAATTCTTAGGAAAAATACAGGTTTAGGTAATCAGATGGGTGTCACATTCTGTCCAGTGCTTACTTTGTATCTCAAAAAATACTGTTCCATAGGAGAAATCACACTTTCCTCGTTTTTAGCACTGGCTTATTATAGCAGACGCACTAAGTTAGTGAAACCTTTACCTTACTTGTGGCTGTGATAGCCAATATTGCAACAAGGTGAAGAGGCCTTAACCAGATGCTAAAGAGAGCCAAGGGGACAATGAACTGCACAAACTCTCAAGTACCTGTTTGCTGCCTGTTAAAACCTTAGCAGTATTCCTTACTAGATGCTATTCAGATTTTTGTCAATGAAAAACAATTTAGGTTATTTAATAATTAAATAACAGAACTAACTATTCCGATATTTAAAAAAAAAAAAAAGTTTTCAGCAAATAGTTGCACCCTTGCAAATAACTGTAATTGGAGCATTTCTAGTTTTAGAGTGGTTATCTGTCCACTTTAAAAATAGATCATTATTGCATTTTCAATGCATCAAGATGTCAAAATAAGTTGCAGACATTGATTTTTTTGAGCTGTTAACTTCCTTTTATATCAATGTTTTCAGTAACAAAACAACAGATCCTGAATGCAGCAGGATCTTATAATGAGTTTAGTAGTAGACCCCTGGAGTTACATTATTTCTTAGAACATTGTAGCATAGGGCAGTTGATATAATACCTTTTAGTTGCTTGTTTTGACAATGAATTCTAAAAATGATCCTTCCCTCACATATACAGTAGACTTTAATAGTACAGTGAAGTTCCATACCTTCAGTTGGGATGGGAACAGTTGTAGTTTGTAGGATATTGCTGCAAACAAAGTGGCTTGGGTATTGCTGACACCAGGAAACATCTCAAACACAAGCAACAAACAGTACACCTGTTTCCAACATCAGGGCAAAAAGAAGAAATGTATTTTGCTTGCCAGTTGTTTCTATCGGAGGAGAAGGTGTGTTTTGAAGTTGAAGGGTGGGATTAAAAGTTGTTCATTATCATTTCAACCTTAGATTTATTACAAGTAAAATTAGCTGGGATAGTTCTCACCTCAAAGCCATTAGTTCAGGTTTCCAGCTATTGCATTTTTATTGGATACTGCAGTTTTATATTCTGAAGTCTTTCAGTCTTACCAGCTGTCATGTTTTAACCCAGCAGGCAGCTAAACACCACACAGCCATTCGCTCGCTCCCCCCTCAGTGGGATGGGGGAGAGAAGCAGAAAAAAGGTAAAACTCATCGGTTGAGATAAAGACAAATTAATAGGACAGAAAAGAAAGGGAAAATAATAATAATGATAAAAGAATATACAAAACAAGTGATGCACAATACAGTTGCTCACCACCTGCTGACCAATGCCTAGCCAGTTCCCAAGCAGCAGCTGCGTGCCCCTGGCCAACTCCTCCCCCCAGTATTTGGTTCAGCATGACGTCATATGGAATATCCCTTTGGCCAGTTTGGGTCAGCTGTCCTGGCTCCCAGCTTCTTGTGCATCTCCAGCCTTCTCAGTCAGTACAGCATGGGAAGCTGAAAAGTCCTTGATTTAGTCGAAGCACTGCTCAGCAACAACTAAAACATCGGTGTGTTATCAACATTATTCTTATCCGAAATCCAAAACACAGCACTATACCAGCTACTAGGAAGAAAATGAACTCTATCCCAGCTGAAACAAGGACACTAGCTTAAAGATTTGCTAGCATTCTTATGCAAAACTGGAAAACTTGGAAAATGGTGAAGTGGGGTTATTTGCTTTGAGCACAACATTCGGATGCTCTTGCAGGCATTGTGGGCACTAACAGAGTCTTCTGCAGTGAGTGCAGGCTGTTGTGATCAGCAAAGAAATGATAGGCTCTGCTATATCTGAACAACTGCTGTTCTTTTGTTTTCTTCATCTATATTTCTTTTTTCAGAGAGCTCTGCACTAAACTTTATAGCACAAGCTGGGGCAATTCACAGAGCTGGCAAGAATTTGATCGCTTTTGTGAGTATAATGCAGTTGAAGTTTCCATGTTGACCTGTTTAGCAGATGTACGAGAACCTTGTCAGCTGGGCTGTAGAAATCTTACTTACTGCACTAATTTTAATAACAGGTAGGAGAGACACACTGAATATTTTATAAAGGAATTCCTGTGCTTTGATTTAAAAACCAAAATGTTTTTCAGGCTTATTTTGAGATTGTATGTAGTTGTCTTTCTGCAAATGTTTTTTTAGATAATTTAAAAATAAATAGTTTTTCTTTAGAATGAACTTTTGGAAATGTATTTAACAGCATAACAAAACTTAACAAGAATAAAAGCTAACCCATGAACTTGTAAAATGTCACGATGTATTAGCAACGTATTCCTCTATCTTACTGTATAGACAAGTAAGCATGATTACTGGGATGTTGTGTTTATAAATAAGGTAAAAATTCTTGTTAAATTTACGTGTTACTCTTTTTTTCAAAATTCCTTTTCTTTCAGAGATATTTCTGTGGTTTTTTACTCTATAGGGCAAAATGCATGATTTAAAAGTGGTGTCTTAATTAGTAATTGCAAGGTTACAAGTTAAATAGTTTGAGCTTAAAAAAGCATTTAAAATTTTGCTAGCTATTAGAGATCTCTGGCTTTTCTTTGAAATAGTATACAGTGCAATGAGTGTTATATGAGTAGTAGAATCACATATGTGGTAGATGCAGCCTGGGCAAATATAAATGATAAATCAACTTGCATTAGTGATTCACCAGAAAACATTTGCACAGATATTCAGGATATCTAAGATATTTGCTTTTAAGTCAACTTTCTTCAGGTAAGAAAAATTTAAGTGATATTTGATCTAAGAGGTAGAGGTGAGAAGGGACTTTTAGCCTCAAGTCTTAAAGAGCTTATTTTCCTTAAAGACAGAATTCAAATTGATTTTGATCTTGCTTAACTGTGGAAGGGATTAATTTCTTTTGTATCACAAAAAGCAAGCCATATCAATGTTATACAATTCATATGGTGAAAGATAAAATGTGTGGTGTTTTCTTCTTCTTGTATACGTGCCATATCTTAATTTCTTCTTTTAAGACCAACAGAACTTTTTAGGAGCTGCAATACTCAGTCAGACCAGGGAGCCATGAATGACATGAAGCTATGGGAAAAAGGGAGTATTAAGATGCCATTTATAAATATTCCTGTGCTTGATATTAAAAAATGCCAGCCAGAAATGTGGAAGGCAATTGCCTGCTCGCTGCAGATTAAACCTTGCCACAGCAAATCTAGAGGAAGTATTATCTGCAAGTAAGTACTGTGGGGGAAAAAAAACAGTTAAGAGGTTCTGCTAAGGGTTTTAATGAGAACAAAAAAGCTGCTGTAGGACTGTGTTTGACTTAACGTTAGGAAAACATGGCAAGGCAAACACGGAAGGAATATGAGCTTGCATAGTTGCAAATGTAAAATGTAGCACATATATACATATATATATATGTAAAAAAACACTCTTGTGAGGCAGAAGGGGAAAGTTGTGGATTAGGGGAAGCGAAGGATGTGGAAAGAAATCTTTTTCATATAATACCTTTTTTCTTCAAGTAGTGTTCATTAAGTTCTGTTTCTTTATTTATCTGAAGATCAGATTGTGTGGAAATACTGAAGAAATGTGGAGATCATAATAAATTCCCTGAAGGCCACTCAGCTGAAAGTATTTGTGAGCTCTTATCTCCAACAGATGACTTGGAGAACTGTATCCCTTTGGATACGTACCTGAGTAAGTATCAACATACCTTTGCAACAAAATTAGAAACGAAAATACTTGGAATGCTTATCACTGCTTTTAATAACTTTCATTATTTCTTTTAAAGAAAACTGTATTGAATTTGAGACATTTTATTTAGCATATTAGAGAAAACAGGATTTTTCAAATTGCCATAGCTCATTACATTGATTGCTTCTTGTATTGGGTGTATACAGCAAGGTTGTTTTGGTAGTGGTGGAGGCCGCAGGGGCTGTATGGGAAGATGTCAGGCACTGCACTGTGCCAGACACAGCCAGCTTGGCAATGGGCCCACTATAGGCCAAAGCTGAGACACTTAACAAAGTTTGTGGTGCCTCTGTGAAAACATGTTTAAGAAAGGGCAAAAAGTGCCAGACACATGGAGGAGAAGGGAACAGGAAGAGTGAGAAACAACAGAGGTAGTATCAAGGCCAGAGGAGCAGGAGGAGAGGAGGTGCTCCATGGCAGAGCAGATATCCACAAGGCAGCCTTGTGGAGGACCCCATGCCACAGCAGGTGGGTATACCCTGAAGGAAGTTGCATGCCATGGAGAGCCCATGTTGGAGCAGAGGAAAGGTGTGACAAGGAATGAGTAGCAGAGAAACTGGTGTGTACTAACCATAGTCACCATCGTCCCCCACTTCCCAATCCCCACTGCATCACTTGGGGCAGGGGCAGAGAAATCTGGAGTGAAGGTGAGCCTGGGAAAGGGAGGAAGAAAGACGTTGCTTTAATGTTTGTCTTCTTGTTCCCCTTATCCGAATCTGTAATTAGATATTTATTTTAATTTGCAACAAATTTAGTTAATTTTCCCCAAGTCAAGTCAGTTTTGCCCACAGTGGTAATTCTTATGCAATCTCCCTGTCTTTATCTCAACCCATGAGCTTTTCTGTTCCTGTTCTACCTGTTTTCTACCACCATCCCATTTGGAGTGGGAGGACTGGGTGGGAGTTTGGATGTTAGCCAAGGCTAACCCACCACAATTCTCTTTTGGGGATTTCATATATTCAGTGCATGTTCACTAATCTGCATCATCTAATAATCTGGCTTGTTGAATTTCAATGATTTTTACCCACTTGAAAATAGACTAGTTAATCTTACTTTAAGAAAATGCTGTTCTTCAAGAAGTCATCTCACATGCCAAAAAAGTACTATAATAATAAAACCACTAGCACTATTTATTTACAGGACAAAAGTTGGATCATGCTTGAGAGGACTGATCTCAAATAAATGTTACTTAAGCAACAGCATGATTTAGACCACAACTTGATGTACAAAATTACACTTCTGCCTGATGCATAAACTCTGTTCTTTAACTGTGCAGTTAGAATAACCTAATCCCAAATTAACTCTTGGGGCAATAGAACATGAGTTTAGTAGGTATATGGAAGAACAAAGTTTTTGTGATTCTGTTTTCTTCTAGCGCGTCTTATCCCTCAGTATGGAACACAATTGTATTCGTAAAATTTTGTCTTGGTTCTAGATTTCATTTAAATGCATCTTTTTACATTACTTTCCAAATCTGCTCTACCCTATTACTACTTTCTGTTGCATATTTATCTCTGTAGGGTTTAGACCTTTTTAGCTTCATAGGATTTATCCATCTTAGACCTTCTTCCAAATTAAATTTTGATATTTCTTCCTCAGACTCCCAGGAACTTTGAAAGTAGTAAAATTTTTGTTTAGTAAGAGCTGCAACTAAAAGCATGCCTAAACAAATCCATTGTTCCCAGAGAGACAATGTGTTGAAGTTTTGCGTGGTTCTTTCCATCTATCTACTGCTTTTCGATGTTGTCTTCCCTTCCCTTAACTTGGTTAAACATCAAGCATACTTTAAACCTCCAGTTTGTTAATCTTTGACTATGGGAATTCTCTTGATTAAACTGCTGGTCATTGTTGTTGGTATTTTTGTCATATAGATACAATTACTGGGGAAACAAGATAGAGGAAATATATTTTGCTTGTGAAGAATCATCTGGGTCATTATTTTCAGGATTGAGGACTAAACTTTTGAAATAAGTTAACTGCCTTGTCATGTCAAGCTTCTACAAGTATAGTTAAAAAAAAAAAAAATTTCACAGAATTGTCAAAAATATGATTTTACTGAATATAAGAAAAGTCGTGCTTTACTGAATAAAAACAAACCTCATTTAAATCAATATAGGTGCTGTATATTCTGTTTTCAGGCCCAAGTTCTTTAGGTAACATTGTAGAAGATGTTACACATCCATGTAATCCGAATCCATGTGCAGCTAATCAGTTATGTGAAGTAAATAGAAAAGGATGTCAATCTGGAGAACTGTGTCTTCCATATTTGTGTGTGCCAGGTAAGGGTTTTTGGACATCTGTTTACCTGAATTTTGCTGATAAACATATGTTACTGAAATTTTGTTGAAAGTTTTAAAGCAAATTGCTGATATCCCAAAAGAACTATTATCACAATTATCTTGTGTTTTCAAAAGGTGTAGCCTACCTTCTAGCTCTTTCCATTTCTCGATGTGTTTCTATTTTTATTGTCCACTGAAACATAACATCTTATTAGAAGGTATATTACTTATTTTGCCTAAGAAGAAATAAATGTCCATACATGGTCCCTAAGCAGCAGCAGCCTGCCTGCTATTTAAAATTGCAAGCATGAAATACTGCAAATACAGTGCAGCTCACTGCTTCTGCAGACACCATGACATGTATTGCCCTGTATTTCCATACATTATTAGCAGTATCCACAGTGCTCTCCTTACTGGTGAAATAAATGGACATTGTCTTGCCTTGAAATTAATGAAAATCAGGCTGTCAGTCTTGGTAGGACGTTTTGAGAGCTCTGAGAATCTGATCAAATGCAGGGTGCAGTTGGATGTACATTTCCATTGGCAGAAATTCTGGTGTTGTATTAAAGTTCAAGATGGTATCTTACATGGAATTCTCCCAAACCCTTTTTCATAGGCCAGGTCAACTTCTCAAAATATCTCCAGCAGCTCATGGGTAACTAGTTCCAGTCTGAGTAAATTAATACCCAAACTTTTTCTTAAGAGCTTCACTACCTTTGCTACCTACACTACCAAGTCCACACTAAACCAATCAAGGGTAGACTAGACTAAACCATGTCCCAAAGTGCTGCGTCTACCTGTTTTTTGAACACTTCCAGGGATGGTGACTCCACCACCTCTCTGGGCAGCCTGTTCCAATGCTTGACTACCCTTTCCGTAAGGAAATTTTTCCTAATATCCAATCGAAACCTCCCCTGGCGCAGCTTGAGCCCATTTCCTCTCGTCCTATCGCTTGTTACTTGGGAGAAGAGCCCAACACCCACCTCACTACAACCTCCTTTCAGGTAGTTGTAGAGAGCGATAAGGTCTCCCCTCAGCCTCCTCTTCTCTAAACAATCCCAGTTCCCTCAGCCATTCCTCGTAAGACCTGTGCTCCAGACCCTTCAACAGCTTCGTTGCCCTTCTCTGGATGTGCTCCAGCACGTCAATGTCTTTCTTGTAGTGAGGGGCCCAAAACTGGACACAATATTCCAGGTGCGGCCTCACCAGGGCCAAGTACAGGGGGACAGTCACCTCCCTGCTCCTGCTGGCCACACTATTCCTGATACAAGCCAGGGTTCTGTTGGCCTTCTTGGCCACCTGGGCACACTGCTGGCTCATGTTCAGCCGGCTGTC